ACATATAACTCCTAAAAACAAAAATGCAAATGAAGTAGATTTCCTTGAAAAGGACAATGATTGTGTCACGCCCCAGAACTTGAATTCGAGGCGCGACAGATGCTGTGCACTCGTCAGACGGGTCTCACAAATGCACAAGGCTCGGAACTTTCAAATTCACACTCTAATATCATCAAAATCTGAAGATCAAATTATAAGATATTCTCTCATATCATAAATCTCCAAATACACTCTGGTTTACAAGATCATGATTTATCTAAAGCTATACTCAATTTACAAGTGGCTAGCCTTCTAACTCGTCACTTCCCGTGGTTTCCCCGTCCTCGGTTTCACTTCCTAAAATGGTGGACAAGGAAAAACTATGAGATAAACTCAGTAAGTAAAATATGAAGAGCCCTTAATTAAACTTGTAGCATGTCAACAAGTACAATCAGAAAACGGATACAAGTACGGGAACGAAATAGACGTCTCCTCTATAGGTCATGGCCAGTGTTTAAACCTCCCACTGGCAGGCAACAGGAATTGCTAGTGTTTAACTCCCACTAGCAGGATTACAGAAATGAACCGGTTCTATCAGAAACATGTCGACATGTGCTAGCGTTTGACCTCCCACTAGCGGGCAACAGGATAACATGACCGTATCGGAGACAAAACAGGCAGAAGTTAACAGAAAATTCATAATTTACCAATCACTTTCAGATCATCAGGACAATCATTAAATTTCAAGTAGGCATGCTCAATTTAATGAAAAGCATAAGACATTTCACTTCAAATCAGTCATGCTCGTGTAAAACGGGTTTAGTCCCGCCACCACTTCAAAAACAAATCAAAACATGCTTTTAAAAACAGTACAGGCATTACCATAAATTTACTTACCTCACTCGCATAAAACCGAGCACTCAATCTCAATGCTAACTGACAGAACGATCGGAAACCTAATCAAAATATTTCAAGAATTAATACCACTATCACAAATTCAAGGTAAACTCATCATTAGGATCATTCCTAATCACAATGCTATTTCTATCACTTTCCACATGATCAGACATCTCCAATTTCGTTCTCATATCACAAACTAATCATTTAAATTCCCATTAAATGTTGGCCCTCGGGGTGTGAACAGTAACTGGTGAACAGTACCCCGACGTGAACAGTAACTCCACTTCCACAAATTGGCCAAAACACTAGCTAATCTCACGGGATTTTCTCTCCAAAAATCACAGCAATTAACTAACACTCAATCACATAAATCCCACTTGAATTAATGCTTAAATCTCATCCTAAAGTTACAGGAATTATCCCCCATTTTTCTGTCAAATTCGGACATCACACGGCAGCAAACTAATCAAGCTAATTCTACCTTAATCAAGCTTAAAAACAATGATTTAAGGCTGCCACATACCAGAATCCAGCAAGCAAGGCCGGAGCTACAATTTGGGGAAGAGCCGGCGGCATGGAAGGAAAATTCTGCAGGGGACTCACGGTTTAACCCAAAATTAAAGGAGCCCAACTTAAATCAAAGCTAAAGAAGGGAGAATTCGAGCTATTGCTTACCAAAAAACCGAGCAATTCACCCCCACAAAGCAGGAGCAGCCGGCGGAAGGACAAAGCCGAGCAGGGCAGATCCGGCTTTTCCAGCAGGGGGGAAGATTTCTGGGTTCTAGAAGTGTTCTAGAGCAAGAAAAGGAGAAAACCAAGCTTTCTCACCAATTTCTCAAGCATGGCTGGGTTTCCCTTTTTTTTTCTTCGAGCGGCTGCAGCGGGAAGACAGAGCAGAACACGCGGGGAAGAAGAAGAAAAGAAAGAAAGAAAAAGGAGAAAGGAAAAGAAGTCATCCTTATCCAAAATCTTTTCCTCTTTAAGTCCCTCAACTTTTGAAACATTCACATTAGGCCCCAAAACAATCTTTTCTCACAATCAAGTCCCTAACTTACTTATTTATTCTAGAAAATTTTGGGGTATCACAGATTGGTACACCTTCTAATTCAATATTTGATTTAATATTTTTCAGTTTAATTATTAAAAAATTATTGTTTTTTAGTCTAAAATTAAAAACAAATAAGTATAATGATACAATCATGCACACATGATATAAAAACTAATTAAATTGGCTGTATTTATATTATATTTTTAATGACTAAATCAAAAAATATTAAACCAAACATTGAACCGAAAAATGTATCAATCATTCCTCCCTTAAAAAAGTTATTTCAATAAAAGTGGCATCAAGACAAGTATGACATTTACAATTAGGCCCCGTTTGGTATAGTGGTTTTGGGGTAACAGTTAGCGATTTTACCTAAACCGCTAAATATAGGTGTTTGGTAAATTTACATATTTCGAAACCGCTATAAATAAAGTGTTTGGTAAAATTTTTATTTAGCGGTTTAAGACTAATGGATAGCGGTTAGAGTCCAAACCACTAGCAGATTGAAAAA